TTATAAAATAAAATAAAAATAAAAACACAAGATGATGACAGTTGAGGAAAGTACGATAGATATACAAGGAGTTCCACAACCGTACAGCTGTAACAGAAAATGATTTATTGATGAAGGAGGATGATGGTACTGGAGTACGAAGAGAAATATTGTTAGAACAGTTTTCACTATTTGAAAAACCTTAGTCTAATCTAAAACCTGCGGTTATTTTCATTATCACTCCGAAATATGGGAAAGTTTCCACGTGATAGCTTAAATTCTCCGTATTTTACGATCTCATAATAACCGTAGGTCATGACTTCATGACTGCCTGCACGTACAACTTGGACGCGAGTAAGACCGCGGGACAAAAAGTTAGTACAAGTAGGTATATAACAACGGATAAAACGGTCATAGATACACGGAAACCATTTTACAATTTTTTTTGCACTATACTAAAAATTTGCTAAATCAATTCAACAATATCAATGTAATATTATCATTATCATTCAAATAGGTTATTTTTATCACAAACAGTCAAAGGTTTATTAGTTAAAATTAAAAGTAATTATTTCTAAGTGTCACTAAAAACATAAAAATTCAGATATCTACATTAGACCAAGACTATGAGGCAAGGCGAAAAACATAAATTATGTTAAAAGAAAGAGTTAATATTACGAATTTGGAAATGAATTTTAAAGTTTGAATTTCAATTAAGAAAACAAGGTTAGATATATAAAATGACTTATTATATAATACCAATTCTACAAATCTCTTTTCACTCTGACGTAAATTTAATATAAATAAAAGAATCATGATTCTTATTATAACAATAAAGTTATGCAACGTTAATCCTCCCAAAAGCCTTAGATGGACTCTTATATTACATTTACTTTTACAGCAGGTAAAAAAAGATAACACTATAAGTATTAAGTATATTTTATGCTGAAATGTATCTTACAATTATTGAATTAAAGTTGTATTTTAACAATTTTTATAACAACTTAATAAAAGTAATTTTAAATCATAACAATCATTCTATTGAAGCCACTCAAAGAGAATGATGGAGGCTCAGTAGCGAACTGTTAGCTAATAAATAACTACATATACCCGACTCACAAACCGTGGTATCATTCAACGGTCTCAGCATCGGTTACGTAACGGTCAACCAAGCGGAGACCATACAAATTTTCGAATATGTCTATACTTCAAGTAATTCTTATTGAAATAAGGATGGTTTGGCTCGGTACTCGTATTGCAGTTGTTTATTGGCGGTTTAACTGCGGTGCTACGAGTCACAGGTTTTGTTCTATAGAATTAAGGATGATAAACAAGTACACAATCGACCTGATGGTAAGTGACTTAATTCCTCTCTCTTCCTTCCACCGTCGGATAACAAACACACTGATGTTGTCGATTTCGAACTAATCGTGTTTTTACGTTAACGAAACGTAACGTTAATTAAAGTTAAACGTAAACTAATACTTGCGTTAAAGTGTAAAAACTATTAATCTTCAGGGGTGGTCCGATATAAATTTGGAGAAACATTCCACCCATAAGGATGGCATAATAGGGAATCCAGTTTATATTGTAACTATTTGGACAACATTGAGATCGTGATCAGTCTACTCAAAATGGTAAAAAAATTTAATTGAGAGAAAATAATATTGAGAAATTATATATCAAAAAATAACTTTTAAGTAAAAGCCAACTCCAAAGAACTTTAAAAGAATTTAAAAAATATTCTTTTTAGTTTTTAAAGTTAGCATTTACTTAAAAGTTTTTTTTGGTATATTCTTTTTATTTAAAGTATTTTTTGATACAAGTACCTATCTCTAAATTTTTAGACAAGAAAATTTTGTAATATATCTTTGTAAGTAATTATTGCAGTTAATATTTACAATATTGTGCTTTCTGTGTCTAGTCAAGAAGTATGTGCATGCAGGTCTCAGGTCTTTTACAAATAATAACACTGTCTCAACCATTTCTAGCGATTATAATTAATTTTCGAAATATCAAAATAAAAGGATCTGAAATGTAGCACTACTGGATATAACACGATTAAATATATTGTTTATATAAACGATATTCTGCTCAGCAGAATTTAAACTAAGTGATTATAATATATTCTTTGAGCAGAATTATTTATTTTCCTTATCTAACGCGTGTCACAAGCACGCACTTAGCTGAATAATTGCTTATATTACCTATATATTTACACGGTAAGTATGTTTATTGTATTTTTGCATATACCAAATAAATTGAATTATTGTACTTGTCACTAAGATGAAAAATGAGTACCGGAATTTAATGTGACAAACAATAGACTAAACGATCAATAAACAACCTAAATGATGATGAAAATCCAAATGAGCAGATTAAAATAGTGATCAATCTGCCATTAGTAGAAACTCGTGTATGTAACGTGAACGTATAATAGATAATTACAAAAACCATTGTGGCTTTTGAAAATAGAATTTGAAAGTAGAAGAATGCGGGTTAAGAATGGGTGAGTTAACCGTCAAATGCCTTTTGTACGCCGATGATCAAGTCATACTTGCGTCGTCGGCAGCCGAGTTGCAAATGATGGTTACATTAATGAACAGGACATTAAAAGAAAAGGGAATGAAAGTGAACGCAAGTAAGACGAAAGTTATGGTTTTTGAAAGAGAAGAAAGTAAAACGATATGTGAAATAAGAATAGAAGGGGAGTTGGTAGAGCAAGTAGATGAGTTTGTATATTTGGGATGTGTGTTTAGCAGGGATGGTAGATATGATAAGGATATAGAACGACGAGTGAATGCAGGAAATAGAGTGAATGGGGCTCTACACTCTATTGTGAAAAGTCAGAATGTGTCCAAAAAGGCACGTATGGCAATTCACAATGCTGTGTTAGTACCTACTTTAATGTATGGTAGTGAAAGTTGGGTGTGGCAGAAGAAGCATGAGAGTAGAATAAATGCTGTAGAAATGCGGTCATTAAGGAGTATGTTAGGGATGAAGCTGAATGACAGAGTGAGAAATTGTTTAATAAGAGAAGAGTGTGGTTTGCAAGATGATGTTGTGACCAGGATTAAGAAAGGAATGCTTCGGTGGTTTGGCCATGTAGAAAGAATGAATGAGGAAAGAGTGACAAAGCAAATTTATGTTGCAGAGGTGAACGGCATAGTCGGGAAGGGTCGCCCTAGGCGAAAGTTTATCGACCAAATTGGCGATATATTAAAAATGGGCCAAATCAAGAGTACCTTTAACCGACGAGCGTGTATGCGTAGGTATATGGATGTGGAGGAAGCGAGAGAGGTGTGTCAGGATCGTGCCAAATGGAAGTCCATAATCTCTGCCTACCCCTCTGGGTGACAGGCGTGAGTGTTTATGTATGTATGTATTTATGTATGCATTGTGGCTGTTCATATAAATATCACTGCATTCATTTTGTTGTTAAATGTAGTCGTTTACCAACTGTTTACATGTCCTAAAGGATATTTATTTATTAAAAAACAAAACCAGAAAAACTTTTAAAGTAACGAATTAGTAAATGTTTTAGGACCATTTCTGGAATCTCTATTAAATTAAAGAAAAAGTTTTATGAAACTGCATGCCCTCGAGTAGGCTGCAAATAACTCTTTTTGTAAAGATTGTATTGTGATGTAAAAAGCGACCAGCTTATGTCTACTTGCAATCAACTAAACAACAATAAACAAAGAAGGCCAAAAATCCGAAGTATTTTTGGCCTTCTTTGTTTGTTTGTTTTTGGTGAAATCCGCGGATACAAACGAAATGAATCGTCGAAACTCACACATAACAATTAAAACAATAAAAAAACAATTTGACACACATACACATATACATTATAACAGTATTGCTCGGCAGTATTGAGAGCGACAACTCGCATACAGACTGGGATCAGTCGCTCGATCGATTTGCATATTGTATGAGGGCGAGCTGCCTGTATTGATAAACAAATCTGAAATAACACGGCCGTTATTACCGTAATTTTTAAGTTTAATAAGAAGTAAATAACAATAATGTCATTAAACATTTCATATCATATATGGAAAGTACCGCCATTTTTTGGAAATTTGACGTGACAGATCTCTTTTTGCAGCAATAAACTGAACAATACGGCATTTTTGTAGGACATCGTTTCAGCCGCGCAACTAGATTTAGTCTTGTGAGTGGTGCGGCTGCGACTCTTTTTATTGTATGCACAGGACCACGTGGGCTTATACTTTGACAGAGGGGGAACGACTGCGTATGGCTACTCCCCTCCGGGGCCGTGTTGCTCTATGCTTCTAGTCAACGAAAAATTATCTGCGATACTTATTCGACAAGATATTAGATTGCATTATCCTCTAAATATAATGACTCATAAATACAATAGGAAACATAAAAAATGGAGTTGTTATAATTTCCACTTGAATTTGAAAGCAAGGGGAAAGGAATAGATTTCTTTATTTTACTTTTACTAGTCTTTGAAAATTTTATTGGTTTACATACTAAAATCTCTGACGACTAATCCATTCGCTTTTCTGATGAAGCGTTAAGATTTTTACAATACACAGACGTAAAAATTAATAACTTCTTTTGTATGCGAATATTGACGTTCATTAAACTTATAGAGCAGTCTTTCGTCCAAACGTACTTGAAAGACGATAATTAACGGGTATCATTTACCATCGTCATTATCGCCTACAAAGATGATAACATCACCAAGTGGCCAAGCCCAGGTCTAGATTTGTTTCCGTGTACCGTTCAGAACCTAGGAAATAACTCGATGACTAATAAAAATGTTACGCATCGAAATCGGAAGTGTGACGAATCATATAACTCAGTACTTTGACGCTGAGTATTAATTTGTTATAGTATCAGGCCAAAAGAAATTTCACGAAGACGCTTAAGCATACATAGAAAGTGTATTCATTAAAAAAATTATAATGTAAATGTGCTATATGTATAAATATTAATCAAAACTTGTAATTTACTTATTTTTATAGTAACTAGTTGTTAATCTTTAATTTCAGAACGTTTAGTAGCAGTAGCAAGGAAGGCAACAGTATCGGTAATGCCACAGCTTCTTATCAGAGAGAGGAAGATGGTGCAGCTGTCGCCATGAATCGGGAGAACGTTTCAACTAAGATCGCAGCTGGCATGGATCGATGGCAGAATACACTAGAAGAAATGATTCATTTGCGTTCTTCGAATAACCAAGCTTTTAAAGATAACTATTGGGTAAGTAACACCGTGATAATCTAATAATTCAAACAACATTTAACATATATCTTCTAATGTAAAAAAAAAAATGTTTGTTGCCTGCCATACCGTTAATCAGATTGCGCTAAAACTTTGTCATTTTATTGCTTGCACTTGCGCCAAGGATATAGAGGATATAGGCATAGTAGGTACAATTAACTTACAGTAGGTGGCGTGCGTATCGTACCGACAAATTTATTTGAAAGTCATATATCATTAAATTTTAATTAATGTATTATCATTCCTACTTAAACAATATAACCCTTCAAAATTTAAAACGATATTTCCTCAATTATTTCTTCTGTGGCAGCAATGCGCTAGGTACCAGCTAGTATTGCATAAAATTATTTATTTTTTGTTAGTTTATCCTAAACGAAATATAATAAAAGTTCTAATGCTCAATTAAGTGTCATATCGATCATATTGTTATCGTATCGATGGCAATTATAATGTACATACACATTCTGCTATTGTGGTTAAAGAATGAACCAATTAGGCATTGGAGGAAATAAGTACGTCACTCTCCTGACTACATTTTATTTCTTAATTATACATTTAAATAATAAGTTACAAGTAACTATTTGGGAAGTTTAAATATATAGTTATAAGACTTAAATTTCTTGTCGTTTGTTCAAAGTTGTCTTTATTATATCTTGAATATTGATTAAATTGTAAATCGAAGAAACGACACCTCTTTAAAAATGTTTATTAAAATAAAAGAAGAAATCCTTTTTGTGTAATAGCGGCTAGGTGGAATTTAACAAAGATAAATTGAACATGATCAAACATAAACCTATAACAATTATTTGGGTTGTAGCCAAACGCTTATCAAATGAAAAATTAGAATAAGTTATAAAGCTGTCATTAAATTGATTCTTCGAACTACTCAAAAGGACCGTGTCATCTGCTAACATAAGAAGCTCCGTATTAGATAGTTACCTTACACTGTTTAATATATCATACGTCGAGAGGAGACTCGGATCTAAAGTACTGTCCTCTGTAAAACCGAATCACTCAGTGTTTACTTATTCTGACCTATTGATGTCTACCCGTCACGTAACTTCAGACCTATTGATGTACACGACCGTGGACACCTAAACCTTTTACATTTAGCAGAAGTATCGGAATCAATAATATGTCAAAGCTTCTTATAGGACGACGAAAAGGCCAATAACTTCTTCACCCATGTTTATGAATGTTAATTTCAATAAACCGTCATCCGTCGATCTTCCTTTGCAAAACCCATACCGAAAATCTACTGTTCACTAATTCTTCCACAATCTTCGACATGGTAGAGAGTAGAGATATTGACCTATAGTTGAAGACCGTTTAGAAAATTGGGGAAACGATGGCCCTTTCTAAATAAATCCGGAAATATCCCTTGTTCTAAACTACTTAAGATTTCAAAAGAACCCATTTGGATAAACAACGTACTCTTTTGATCGTTTTCTACACCTGAAATGCCGACATGACCCGGAGCACTGTCAGTTTTTAGATGATTTGTTATTTTAATAATTTCATAGCGGTCTGTGGGTGCGAAAGGCAGAACGAAGCTGGGAGTTTGATTGTTCAGGTGCTTGCTTTCTTGTCTTGCTAGTTCCAGCATCGTTTTTTGAGTTTTTATAAGGTGACATCAGACAGTTTTACCGATTGTAGTGAATTAATTCGTTTAAACTAACTAAAAATTTATGCTTTTCGCAATTTTTCCTTCATCTGTACGATTAAGTAAGTAAGTAAGATTCTGAGTTCACGGGAAGTACCCTGTAGGTTTGATTCCCTTGCGAATGTCGAAAATTTGCGGCATAAACGGCTGTATCTTTTGATTGCGTTGGCTTAGAAGTCTAATTTTTTCACAGCTCCAAGGGACAGTAGATTTGCGTGTTTGATATGAATTTCAGCTTGATACCTCCACGCGTTCCTGATAAAAAGGGTATTGACAGACAGACAGACAGACGGACAACAAAGTGATCCTATAAGGGTTCCGTTTTTTTCCTTTTGAGGTACGGAACCCTAAAAACGCCGGTGGTATGCCGGCGTTTTTACGGCTCTGGGTTCTAACCCTTATGAGCCTGAAGTTACAATGTATAATTATCCTTCATAGTACACTGCTTCGCAATATGTTGATGCGTCACATTGTGCAGCCCTTGGGAGATTTTGACGGCAACTTGAGCCAGCAGACAGCTGACAGTTGGCGATGGTATCTCAAGCCGCCTAAGCAGACAGACACCTTATCTTGAGAATCACATCACCATGAAAGCACTTGTTTCACCGTTTCCACTAATAGTTCACATGCGCAGACACTTAATACACAAAATTGCACCACTTTTACATATTATAGATAAGAATACAAAATGTCTACTGCCATCTATCGGGGGTCATGAGATCTTTCTACTGTTATCACAGCAGTGTCTTAATACGAGTATGACATCTACAGCCGAATAATTATTCATTTTATGATTAAGGCCATATTGTAGTATGATGTGCGGGTATGAAAACGTAATTAATATCCGTAAATATCGATCGAATCTAAAACGGGGCAAATTTTAGAAAAAAAAACGTACGCCTAACTTCGAAGATGTCTCGGTGGGCACTAGTCCTACTCAGTAGCCAAAGAGTATATTATAAAATATAAATTACTCATTAGCATTGCCCGATACATGCATACATGTTTCTGGGTATCGATATAAGATCATACGATATTTCGTACACACACCTTATTGATGTGGAAGGAATACACATTACTAATAGGATATAGGTATGGCGATTTCGTAAGGTCTCCCAAAAAAATCGTATCAATATTATCGTATAATTTAAAATAACGTTAAGATTAAAAAAAAAGAGATAAGGTGAGTTAGGTAAAGATAAGTTGAGACAAGAATCTTTGTTAATGTTTAAGTTACAGTCAAAACTCATAACCGTTCAAAATCACTTTTGACTGCAAAAGTGACTGCACTTTCAACGGATTCTTGCAGTCAAAAGTAGTTTTGAATAAGGACGTTGGTGAAAACCAATTTGGCAAAAAAACCTTAATGGTTTAAGTACTATTTTAATAATAATAATAATAAACGAAAGCAAACTAAAAAGTGAATTGGTGGTAATCGTATTTTAACGTTAATTGTAATTTAAGAAATATTTAAAATACACGATTTGACCTTTAATACGCGATATTATCAATACAGTCAGTAACGATTCATTGCGATACTAATACTTTTTTTTTACTATTTTAAATTTCTTACATATTTAATTCAAAAAGAAAATCATATAATCCCTTTCGTGTTTGTGTATGACACTGAGTTCGTTGCTCATGCATGCTTAAGACAGGACATCACGTCGAATTATTTGGCAAAAGAGTTCGTGGGCACACTCATACCCTTTATAAAGTAATTTTTTAAAGTTCGAACCACTGGTCGGAGTGCTTGTACTATTCGCTTATGTTTATATTTTCACAAGATAAATATAATAACTAATTATCACATATAAAAAGCCTTTTCATTTGATATAACTTTTATATGGTTTCAATATATAAACTCTGCAAGGTGCGTGTTTACATAGAGATTTAATGTCATCCGTATGATTTTTTTATCAAGCCCATTATTTGCCTTCACACATCTCTTTTATTGTACGTACTACGTATATTCAATTTTAATAAAGTAATTTTGTTTTTGCGCAATGAAGTCCTACAACGTCGCTTTAAGTTGGTCATAACTTTAATTAACAAATACCTGTTATGAATTAGCATAGGTCAAATACAACATCTACAATGTAAAAGAAAATATATATCCATATTTAATGTTGCGTCACTGATTTATCAAAAAATAAAAAGAGAATGAATGAAACTTATTCAATTCGTCATTGTTCCCAAGACAACGCAGCAACGCGTTGTTATGAGTGAAAGTGCTCTGTCTCTCGTAATTGAGGTAATGTTTTACTAGATTCGCAGTAAATTTGGTGAAAGCAAATTTTAAAACGGTGTCGCTATAAAGTAATTTATTATTAGTAACTAATTACTTTTTATTGTATTTCCTTTCTTCTCAAACATTGAGTAAGGGAATATCGGTCAACTATACTGACGATAACCTACGCTGATCACAATATTCCCGTTTTTATAGTGATGCGTTCAATTTGTGATTACTACAGCAACAGACCGAAATGCACACACGCCGTGTGAGCCAAGAGATTTGCGCGTCATGAACATCGCTTGCAAAATGATTTCAGCATCTGTAATAATTTGGCCATCACTGTTAAGCATCACAGTTAAGCAATTTTGAAATGTTAGCGATAATGTTTATTGCTTTATACACCATATAGAATGTTAACACAGTCTGCTCGCTGCGTAATAGCGGCGTAAGAGAATCCACTACCCATATTTACCCCCTTTTGAACTAACCTAATATTATTATTTATATTCTGTGACGTTAGTGCTGTTAGCGTTTCGGCTTTAAATGACTCAGAGCTCGCACCTTGCAGGATCTACAACAGTGAACGGTAGTGGTGATATTGATAATGTTGACGATGATGATGATGATACTGATGATGATGACGGTGATTTGGTTCATGACCAATCGTAAGAGGCGACAGAAGGAAATGAAACATATGAGCAGCAGCGTCTACCTGATAAGAAAACTAAATAATAAAAAAACTGGGGTCTAGCAACGCGCCTGCCGAACGTGGCAACTATTACAAATATCAAAAGTACAATTTTTAAAGTCTTTGTCTGTCTGTCTGTCTGTCTGTCCGCCAGTCTGTCTGTTTGTTCCGACTAATCTCCAAATTTTTTCAAGATTTTGACGGGATTTTCACTGGCAGATAGCCGATGTCACAAGGAGTAACTTAGCCTAACTTTTATTTTCGAAAAAGAATTAGGGTTCCTCGCAAAAATATTAAAACACCAAAAAAGACGCGGGCGAAGTCTCGGGGAACAGCTAGTTTGTAATAGTTTTGATGTTAATAGATATGTGTTTGTGTGTGCGTGTGTGCGC